TTTTTATAATATAATTAAATAATACATAGTATATGTACTCGTATGTTAAAATTTATTTAATATTGTGTACAATTTTCTATAACTTTTTAAAAATATAAAACTTAGTTTTAATACTGTTCTTTAATTTTCTTAGAAAACTTATTGAAGAAAATTTTGGGAGTCGTTTTAAAAATAAGATATGATCTTGAAACAGTTGCGCAGAGACAAAATGAGTTGGAAAAAATTATGTTGAACCAAAGTCAATGGAAAGATGGACAAGCATTATTTGAAGATCAAGTGGATGAATTTGAATTCTGTGTTCCAATAACCAATGAAGCTTCTTTAAACGATTTTGAACAAAAACTTGCTACATCCCAATCATTTAAATTAAATGTTGTAAGTGTGAAATTTAATTTGACAAATTTATACTCTATTAAATGTTTAAAAATTTTCAATATTGATATAGGTACTATTAAATAGATATTAATGATTTATTTTATAGGTCAACGGGTTGAGACGTCTGTCACGTAAAACATTGGCATCCACAGTACGCCAAATGTTGCGTAAGCTCTTTGACGACAATTTTTTAACAGAATATAGTTATGTGGGCCAAAAAAAAAAAAAGGTCTTTTCTTCATTGGGAACATGTACTGTAATTTTTGGTAAGAATCAAACATTATTATTTCTTATATTATAATATGAAATTTTGTTGATTAATGCACAAATTATTTGCATGCATACAATAATACCCTCCAAAACTAATGTAATTTAAAGAAGGTTATAGTATTGTACACATTGAATACTATATTATAGTAATTTAGTTTTTAATAAAGTATTTGATTTGATTTCTGTTATAGACGCTGTTCGTAAAATAAAGGAATTTATCAACTGCACTAATGCGGAGATAGAATCTCCAATCAAAATCTACATTGCTGGAGCAGCATTTAGGAAAAAAAAATAAATTTTTTTTAATATTTATTATAGATTATCTAAATTTTGTTTACTTGCAAGTTGGCAGTTGCTGTATGTTTATTAATAAACTCCTATTATTTTACATACTTTTTTTTTCTTAACTCACCCTTTATAAAAAAATAACAGAATAGTGTAAGCATGGTGAAGTGGACTCTTGTATTATGTTTTTACAAGTTGGTCATCAACAATATAAAGAACATTATATTTAAAATATAATATTTTACAAGCAAATACAATTTTTTAAAACCCATTTCTATTCATAATAATATAACAACGGAATTCGACAAATCGGGGCCTCTTGAAATTTTTTGGATTCATCAAACTTGTTGATAGGTACCTAAATTATTTTATAATTCAAATAATTTTTATTCATCATAACAATTTAATATAAGATGTTTGTAATTTATTACCTATCATTATTATAATCTAATAAATATAGTTTTTTATCATTATTATAACCCAATAAAAATAATTTTGTATCATTATTATAATTAAACAATGTTATTTTAATAATAATATAAATATTATATTTTAGTATTAATACGTAAAAAATGTTATAATAATGTGGGAAGTCAGGCCAAAAAATAATACTATAATAATATAATTATATTATTGAATCGTATTTGTTATGAAAAAAGTATGTAAAAATAATAATACTCATTTCATAGAAATGTTAAAATAATATTATTTTATTATTAATATAGTGATAATTTGCTATTTGGGTTATAATCACTTATACAATTTACATTGTTGACTGTTATACACGCCACAAGCAGAAACGCAGAACGTATGATTTATAATAAAATCTACTAATTTGTGAAAATAGTTTTAAATATTTACTTTCTGTAATGTACGAATGTACCCAGAATAATGAAATCAGTGTCAACTTCGAAAAAATTATAGAAACAAAATAAATATGATTAAAATAATAATATTAAAAAATAAGTAGGAACCGTTAATTAATAAGTATTAAACATATTTAATGTACGTGGTTAATTATAATCCAAAAATGTGAAGTCGAGATTATTTTGTGTGAGCGAGAGGGGCGTCAAATATTGGTGCCCTAGGGCGTTATTGGTGGTTAGAGCGGCACTGGGGTCAGATCCTCACCCGGCCCCCATAGGCCATTTGTTTAAGTTTTAGAAAAGTGTTCTTACTTCCTTAGTGTTAGCGCGTTACAAGGAAACGTAAAAACAAATTAAATACATTGTGTACTACAATTGTTCAATTCAGGGGCGTCATTTAAATTTTTTGAAAGGTATTCCAACTAGGTAGGTAGGCCAAAAAAATTTCTGCAGAACAATATAATATTATATATTGTACTATAGTTTTTACAAAAAAAATTTTAATATGTACTAATTTATTGAGAAAAATGACCACATTATATTATTATTGTATAATAGTAAATTAGTAAATATCAATATTATATAATTCTATTTGAATATTTGTTCATTACTAGTTAAGTAATAACAATTTTCTTAATATTATCGGCATCTTTATAACACTATATTATACGTACATTTATAATACAGGTCAGTGGCGTTCTCAGGAATTCTCTATGGGGGGGGGTTGTTTGAAAATTTACTTGAATTCAATAGTTTAAATAATATAAAAGTACAAATTATACTTGGAGGTACTTAATGTGTATGATAATAAGAGGTTAAATAAAATAATAATAAGGTAAGACTGTACGAGCGAAGCGATACAATTTGTTTTTAATGATAAAGTATTTACCACTGTAACCTACCTACCTTTACGTGAAAGCCTTAATTAGGTAGTATATATTCACGAATGTTTTAGCAATACAATGTATAATATAGGTACACACCTACTCGGACTTTTAAGTTGTATTTTTATTTTTGCTCTTGACATTTTTATTGTATTACAATTTTATTAACTTGTTGGATCGTATTTCGTAAATTTGTTTTCATAGATCGAAGTACCTACTTATTATTATTTTGATATTTGTCATCAAATACGGAAATATGCTATTATTAGTTGTGCCGGGGCCCCAGAGATCGACACCTGGTAGTTGTGCCACTGCATGCATGTAGTCGTGTGTTTTGGGTTGAGGGGGGGAAGGAGGGTTATTGTGAATTGTACTTTCCTATAAATTCGGTGCGTTGATCGTTAGCGGTCAACAAACAAACACGTCTGTTCTCTCGAGTGTCGACACCGATTCATTAATATCGATTTTCGAATCACCCGTGTGGCCGTGTTTTCAACTTACCAATCCTTTTTACTTATTAAAATATATATATATTATATTTATATATTTTACAGGTAATTACCACGGGGATTGGTGATACACTACAGGTAATTATTTAACATAATATAATATACAATTTAATTATTTGTTTTTTCAAATGTAATTTATTCTCTTAATTATACATTTATACTTATTTGTTTTATGTAAACACTTTTTTCCAGCAATACTGCAATAGGTGCTAATATTAATTTACTTTCACAGATTTAAATTGTATATATTTTTACCACCAACCCAAGCCAATACATTTTTGCATATTATTTTTTTTTATATATCCTTATTTTTTTGTACTCTTGTGTTTAAGCATCAAAATGACAAAAATAAATCTGAATAAGCTGATTGCCGTTTTGAAAGAAAACGGATGTACTCCATGTCAGTGGAATAATGTAAAATGTGGTGATGATATCATCATTGAGTCTTGCAAAGCATGTTTTGATCAGAATACATGTTTGAAAAATCGAAAAATGATTAGACGAGTAAGTTGACAACATTTAATGAGTGACTTAGTATTATACTGTATTAAAATTTTAAATGTAAAAAACATAATTGCAATATTGCATATCAAATTTGAATGCTTTACTGTTGAGTTTTTACTTTCTTAGCAAGGAGCGGCAGCTGGGTTTAGCAGGGACAAATTACAATAATATTTGTTTATATTATAGTATATAATAGTCACGTCGTAAGTCGTTACGTTTACTATTATATTGTACTAAATGGTATTTCGCAATATACACGACTGTCGCATGGACTTTATTATAATATCATTATTATAGTATTAAGGTGCGTTTACATTAGGCCGCGAACGCGAACGAATGCATGCGAATGCTACTGCACGAGTTCGTACGCGAATTCGGTAGAAATTCGGCCGCACCGTTTACATTGTTCGGTCGTTCGTGTTCGCCAGTCTTCGCTTCCACAAAAATATTCGCTCCCAAATACCCAAAATATATAGTATAGACAAAGCTGCTGTCGAGTAAGGACTGTTGATTTTTTGACATTTAAAAAGTGAAATTTGAAGCCCTTCCAACAGGACGAATTTTTTTTTGTGTTTAATTTGAATATTTATAATTTTATATTTAAAATGTCATCAAGTGAAGAAGATGATTTGCTATTAGCTGCATCAAGTTTTATGCTCATGAAAGCATTAATTAAAAAAAAATCAAAGACAAAAAGAAAACGTCGCTGGTGGATGACTTCGTTGTACAGTAACAGAGGATTGTATGGTGGCACTATGTTGCTAAACGACCTACAAAAAGAAAGTGGTGATAATTTTAAAAACTGCTGTAGAATGTCATATGAAACATTTAACCAATTACTGACTTTAGTCGAGCCTAAAATTCGAAAAGAAGATACGAAGTTTCGAAAAGCTATACCCTCTAATGAAAGACTGGCATTGACATTAAGATACTTGGTGACAGGTGATTCATTTGCAAGCTTGTCATTGGTTTTTAAAATTTCAAAATCATCGATCACACATATTATACCAGAGGTCTATACTGCCATAATTGAGGTTCTACAAGACTACATACAGGTAATGTTTTTAATATATTATAATATTATAAAATACAAAATAAATATATCCTTCTTAAATAACAATATAAACTTATTAAAAATTAGATATAAGCAATAAAACAATATTAATAAAAATAAATATATCCTTTTTAAATAACAATATATGCTTACTAATAATAAAACATTGTAACAAACTCGTAGGTATAAGCAACATAACAATATTATTAAAAAACAAAAATAAAAAAAACTTAAATTGTCAATCTAAACTGTGTTATATATTTGACGTAGTATTTAAGTCACCGGATAGTATAGTTTCTGAAGCATTGATATCAGCAGATGTACCATGGATATTTGGTGTTTGCTGATACTGATAGTCGTATATACTTGGGAAGTTAGATGTTTCTTGATGATAAAGCTGCTGCACTGTTGAAGGGTAATATGGTGACTGTGGTTGAATGGTAGATATTGAGTGAAGAGATGATGAACTTGGTGATGACAGTGGAGATGAAAATGACATTGTATTAGCTGTAGGCTGATTATTAATATTGACTTGAAGAGTTTGGTTGCCAGGGTTGTTATGAATATAGTTAATTTCAGTGGAGCAAATGAGACTACTTATTTGATGTTGAAGTATTGTCCTAGTGCGTTGATCAAATAATTCCAGTTTACTGGCAAAATAGTCACCGAAAATAATACTGTCGCTCTTCACTTTTGGTGTTTGCCTTTTATTGGAAATTTCTTTTATTATTTGATACGTTTCTGATATCCTAGGGTCTTCCTGTTCTTTTTTTCTTTTTAATCCTTTTGTTTTTTTGGGTGAAACAAAAACTTTTTCTTTTTGAGGTTGTTCATCATTTGTGTAACGTTCACTATGATCTTCCACGATTTCAACGTCTTCATGTGGTTCTTCATGTTCTTGTTCGATGTGTGTGGCATGTGGCTATAAAAAAAAATTGTAAACATTAGGTAAATAAAATTAGTTTTCGATAAATCGATTTTGGTTTTTGGTGTAACTATAAAATAAATTACCGTAAGTACTTGACATTTTTACTGCTTGATTATATTAGCATTTTAAATGCACCATAAAATTTTCAAAAAGTTTACGGACATTTTCAGTTTCCAATTTTAGGTTCTGAGCGGAGCGATGAATGTATTGGTTTTATAATGATGTGTGTTTTTTTATTTTTTATTTTTTTTTTTTTGTGTCTATCGTCACCGTTTGGGGTAGTATAAGGGTAGTAGTATTTGTTGGTTGCGAAAGCTTGAAAATTTAATAGAAGGCTCCTAATATATTGTTTCTAAAGGCAGATGAAAAATATTAAAAATCCTTAGTCACAATTTTTTTTTATAAGCTTTTTAAGTTCAAAAATTAACAAAATATGGAAAAATCACGAAAATTAGCAAATTATCTTGAGTTAAGAATTGGTAAAAATTTTTCTTTTTTAATCTAAGATTTGAAAATGTAATATAAGATTACTCATAAGTTTGTCTACCTTTATCAATAAAAAAATCTCTACCGGTCAGTCAAATTAAATTTTTATGAGCGTTTGAAATTCAAATTTTTACAACATTGGATGTTCACTCGATTTCTCATGTAGCGATTTCCTTATTTTGTTGTAATTCAAAAACGAATAACTGTAGATACATGAAAATTTCACTGAATGTTTATATTAGCATTTTCTATACACCATACAATTTTGAAAATATTTTGACTCTTTTTGAGCTGTTTATGGACATTTACAGCTTTCAATTTTTTTTAGTTTTTTTTTCTATAAATATCAATAAAGTTTTATCTGTTTTGCCAAAAAGTGTAAAAATGTAATACAAGGCTCCTGATATATTGTTACAATAGCAGTTGAAAAATATTAAAAATACATAGGCACAGTTTTTTTTTATAAGCATTTAAAGATCAAATGTTGACAAAATTTATCAAAATCTAAAATTATCAATCATTGTAATTAATAAATTATAAAATGTTCAGTTTTTATAGCTAAGGATTACAAATTCAACACAAAGGTTCTCATAAATAGTTCATACTATAACCAAAAAATCTAAATAATATATGAACACACTTATTTTTTACAGACATTTTAAATTCAAATTTGGACGAAATTACATATTAAAAAACCTAGAATAACTATTTTAGTTATTTTGTTGTGATTGAATAATATTATTCTTGGGTACTTGAAACTTCTAAAGTGTACTATTATATATCTATGATAGTATCACGGTTTTTGTCGATGTATAACGCGTTATAAGTATCTAATGGATATTGTGATATGATTAATTTGGAATTTATTATAGGTACTTATTATAGGTCAATTTTTTGTTTAATATCATAGATATGTATATAATATGTCTTATACACAGACTGACATACCGTCACCGCTCAGAATCGTTTTTCTTATTATTATATCATTGAATTCAAATTTAATACCATCCATTATACAGTGACCCACTTGTAACCTACTGTACAGCAGAGCGACACCCACTTGCCCACCTTTTTTAGTTATAATAAATTATATATATTGGGGTTCTTAGGGAATTATTATGATTATAATGTCTATAGTTATAAAGTACAAATTAAAATAAAATGTTGATTGAATACAAAATGATATACTTTTTTTTAAAATTTTTTACTTTTAAAATAAATAAGCAGACACCATAATATAAATAATAGCCCGGATTTATATGACTGTATTTGAGTCAGTATTGTGAACATTTACGTGTTCAACGACGTTATCGCATCTAAATACAATAGGACAGATGGGTACTAGGGAGGTAGTGGGTAGAACAGTCTGGTACCTATTCCAGACAGTCCAAACTCCAAACTTCAATGATTATGTATGTGGCTACTGGCTAGTATGTGTTTGATTATATCGTAGTACCAAAAAACTTGATTTTTAAAATAATATGGCCAAACGATAGATATTACGAAAAAAAGTCCAGGAAAAAATTATTTTAGTATATATTAATGACTAAATAAAAATAAAAACTTTTAATTAAAATTAGTTCGTAATTAATTATTAAACAATAATGTTTTATAATTAAATAGTAATTTTTCAAATGATACGTTTTAATCGCTCTATATAAGTACTCAAATTTACATGTGATAATATTTTCTTATATAGGTACCTAGTTATAATAATAATAAATAATAAAATATTTTTTGTCAATTTTTTACGAACTAATTTTTATATAGTTATTTAATACACAAGTCATTTTAAAATAATAGTTATGAATAATTATGATAATGATTGATGGATAATTAACAATTATGTTTAGGTGTACTTAAATAAAAATTATTTGAATAAACGAGCAGGTACTTACGTTAATTGTTGTATCAGTAGTAGTCCGAGGTTTGAATTTGTCATTTAAAAATTGCATTTCTGCAAACGCAAACCATTTTGAATGGTATATTTCATTCGTTCCAGCTCCAGAATGACCACTAGTTCCTTCGCGTTGCCTCTCTCTCCGATATGACGCTAACAAACTATCCATTTTTTTTCCTGGTTTGATTAATATCTTTTCCCATCTCATTTGCAATTTCTTGCCAAAAATCAATTTTTTTTTTTGCCATTTTGTACATAGAATTGCACGGATCCCATAAAATAGGACGCGATTTATATAAATTGATTAATGTAATGAAAAATCCATGATTAAAAAATCGTATTTAAAATTTTCAATAAAAAGACTAGAAAAAATATTTATTTGCATGCGAACGCGAGCGAATCGTTGTGACGGGCCGAATGTCGTTCAAACTGAATAACATTTTATTTGATCTTACCGCCTCCTGGTCGAACCTCTCCGAACGCGAACGAACGGTACAAATGGCCATTCGTTCGCATTCGGCCTACCGTTCACACCTGTGTGTTCGGTACATTTTAGTATACCGAATTCGCGTTCGTTCGCGTTCGCGGCCTAATGTAAACGCACCTTTACGTATAATATCAAGTATGAACTATATATGTATTGCCGGGAAAGTCCTCGCAGTATCTTCTCTAATTTTATATTTTTATAATATGTCTATGGCAAGAACTGGTTTACAACTGTCCAGTGACATTCGACAGAATACCCCCATATCAGATTAGGTTATAATTTATAATATTATGTATTTATTTAGTATTAAGTATTAGATTTCCATTAATTATAATTTATAAATACTAATGATAATTGTTATAAGGAAACATACGTATGTTTGACATAATTATTGGAAAATATAATAGTCGTCACTATTGATGCGAGTAGGAAATTTTACTGATTGTTTTTATTTACATTAATTTTGTTGTGATAAAATAGCATTACTGCCGTACAAATATTAAATAATATTATTATCATTAACTATGCATTTATTAATTCTATTTAAGCTATTACAATTTGTGCAGTATATTTTTAATAATGCTATAAAATATACTTCAAAATTCAATGAATATTTCTAATTTTTACTCGTCTTAAGTAAAAAAATGAATGCTATTAAAAAATACAAATTTTATTTTTAAATTATAGACATTTCCAGAGATTCTCTCTTCGAAATTCTTTGAATATTAAATTTCTGAAATTTTACATCACTAGCCGTGATTCATAATAACTAAATAATCTAAGGTTATAAGTTATTACCAGCTCCTATCGCCGTAAAATAGTCAGACCACAAAATTACTAAATGAAAACAAAGTCGGGTTTGATTTTTTTTTTTTCACAAAAAATGTCTTGACTTATTAATAATTATAAATATAATTTAAAATAAATAATTATGAAAACACTGCTGTGTCTAAAAATTTTAAGGTTTACATAGTTATACAGTGATAAATAATTTGTATTATTAACTACTAGAATTTGGAAGTATTTTCACGACAATGGAATCGCATTCCACAATTTGGTATATAATATTGAATATATTAAATCTTCTGTTTGGGTATGTGTTATTTGTGAATTGTTTAGTACCTATGTACATTGTACACTTACTTTTGGACAGTTTAAAGGGTAGATGGTCAAAAAATCGTAACCACATATAAGACTGTACTTATTTGAAACAGATTAAAATATTATGTAGGTAGGTACTATAAAAATAAAACGACAAAATTGAATTACCAATTTTGCAACTAGCAAATTAACATGCACATTTTTTACGCATAATTACATAAATAATAAAATGCTCAAATCCTAAATAGCATAACTTCTTGGTAGGACTGTTATGGTAGCACCATGTCCACCATGCTTTGTGCATCAATTTTAATATATAATAATAAACACTATATTTGATTTCAGATACTAGTAGACAGGAGGAATAATATATTGGAATTATACAATCAGTTTGAACCAGAAAAAAAAAATTTCACTAACAAAGTGAGGACAGTACTGAATGAGCTACAATTTGAAGTGAAGCGCGTTGACTCTGAAATTGTAATTGAAATTTGCAAGAGGTTGGGAATAAAATGGAATGCTACTAAATGGAAAGTAGAAGCATTAAAAAATTATAATAAAGTAACTTTAACATTGCGTCATATTTTTAAACTGGATAGTAAAAAGGTAAAAACACCGATTGAGGATTTAATGTTATATGAAAATATTGGGCAGGTGTCTGTTGGTGATGATTTTTTGTCAAGTTCTAGGTTTATGGAGACAAGTATAACAGTAAAGGAGATTACTGATCATGGATCTTTATTGTTGAAACCAAATCTCGAGGATTCGATTGTTGATGAATTTATCACTCCTACAAAACGAAATGAAGTTATTGATATCGTGGAATGTGTTAATGATCAACTATTAACACACAATTGCAATAGCGATATTAAAGGAAAAATATCACAGGTGGAAAATTTAATTACAGATGAAAGTACTCCTAAGAAAAAGGTAATGTGTGGTTCCAGTGCAGAACAGTTATCTGTTGTTGATGAAACTTTATACAATTTAAGGTTGATACAGAGAAATGAGGATATTATGGAAGTTGCATCTATCTATTCGTCCAGTGTAGAGAATATGTTGGACACTTCTAATGATACTGTATTGTTGGAACAAAGTCCTAAAGAGTCAAATTTTGTGTTTGTGACTCCTACTCAAAGAAATGTTGCAGGATCTCCTAGAAGAAAGTTATTCCATGATAATATAACTGGAACTTCATTGTTTGAATGTAATAGTTCAATTGATTTACTCAGAAACACTGGTAAAACGAGAGACAAATTTATTAGTCCGATAAAGAGTCCGTTAAAACGTTTAAATGATAGACATTTTAATAAAAGCCCTGGGGAGCTTTTACCACGAGGTTCTAAGAATGTGTCTCCTCTAAACATTAAAGGAGAATATTATGAATGTAACTTCAAAGAAGGAGACTTTCTAATTCCAAAAGATAAATGGAATCATATATTTGAAGATGGAAAACTAAATACAAAAAGGTATACATAAACTTACTTCAAATTTGCTTAATATACTTATATTGTTAATTTATAACTACTTACATTATATTTCATTTGTTTGATTTATTATTCTATTAATTTGTCTTAAAAAGTTGAACATTTTATTAACAATAGTTAAATTAAATCATCACAAAAATAATTTATATAGATATTGTTGGCTTATATAGTTTTATTTAATAAAAGTTATGACCTCTAATATACTAGTAATAAATATTCTAATAACTAACAACATAAATTTAACAAATAATAAAAAATCTTAAAAAAAAATATTAATAATAAAAAATAATCTAAATATGATGAGGAACACAATTAAATGACTTACAAAATATTATTCTTAAATACCTACTAAAAGAACAACAATACTAATATAAATAAAAATAAGCGAATTGTGTACTACAAGTAATAACAACAACATAATGCTAAATAATATATGTTAATGATCAATATAAATTTCGGTGCTAGAATGAAAAGGTTGTTACACCGACACATTTATTGTCTCCATCTTACAAGTGCCTAACATACCAAATTTTACGGTCAACAGATTACGTTTAGCTCTGTTAAAAAACTAGATTGAATTGACCTCTTATAAAATTTAAAGGTAATATTATCATCTAGGGCAGGGGTCTCCAAACTTTTTTATTCAAGGGCCACAAAAAAATCAAATGCTCTTAGCGGGCCAAAAGTTAATTAACACATATCATTTTTAATTTTATGAAAATATAGGTGTATAAATATGTTTACTTAACATTTTTTTATAAAATATTTATTACTTTACAATATACTTAAATAAAAATAAATATAAATATAATATAATATAAATACATTTTTCAAAATAATTTTTTTTATTCATATTTACCTATGCAGGCCACATAGTTTGGAGACCCCTGATTTAGGGCGTCTCATAGGGTTTTTATTATATTTTAATTTTAAAGCGAGTATAATTATTTGAAGATGTACAAACAATATACAATTTTAAAATACTCATAACTCGATTTAAAATTTAAAAAACAACAAAAAGTCTATGAAATGTCCTAGGTACCTAATAATCTTACCTTTAAATTTTACAAGACATCAATTTACTCTAATTTTTAAACTAACAGATGTTAGGCACTTGTAAGATGGAGACAACAAATGTTCGGTGTAACGTCCACTTAAATATTCATAGTATACCTTCATAAAATATTATTAAAAAGGTATAATCATAAACCATTTATCAAACACCAAATTATTTTGACAGTATAAACTGAAATTTCTTGTTTGCATGAATTACCAAGGCTGGGCATTAACGAGTTAAAAAGTTAAAGTTAAGTTAAAAAGTTAATTTTATATAAACTTTTTAACTTAACTAGTTACTTTTGGCTTTTCATTAACTTAACTGTTAACTTACTAAATTTCTTTTTTAATTAACGTGAAATTAACGAGTTAATTTTTTATTTCAAGAAATAAGTTAAGTTAATTTATTTTGTTTTTAATTTTATTATATTTCACTATTTCAGTCTATTTCGTTTTCATGTCAAAAATGTTTTACTGTGAATTGTTTAAAGTAAAAAATGTATATTAATCGAATCTAACTAATATGGAAATACTGTATAAAGTATAAACACTATAGTATAATATAATTTAGTTAATAGTTTGGGTTGAAAAAAAATTAAGTACTCTAGCGTGGTATAAAAAAATTAACTTTTTTTTAACTTAATAAAAAGTTAACAAAAGGTGTGTATTAACTTTTAACTTAACTGAGTTAACCTATAGTTAAATTAACTTTTAACTTTTTGTTATTGGAGCATATTAACTTAACTTAACTGAGTTAAAAAAAATCATTAACTTGCCCAGCCTTGTGAATTACTTATAATTATTAGAGAGATTATATTAGAGAAGACAATCATGAAAATTGCAAAGGGGGGCAAGTTAATGAAAATAATTAACTCAAGTTAAGTTAAGAGGACACAATATCGATAAGTTAAAAGTTAACAGTTAATAAATTATTAATTTAACTCAATAAGATAAAAGTTAATATGGAAAAAAATATTAACTTAACTCAGTTTAAAAAAAGTTAATCTACATTCTTTAATTACCTAGTATGTTGATCGCATAAAGAGTGACAGCTTTATTTCTAATTTCCAAAATTATAATAAACAATTTTATTGAACTTTTGATGTAATGTACAGTGTAAATACCTATTTTACCTTACATGTTTTGTTGCGTAAAGTCATATGCACGGCAGCGTTACATAACGCAACAAATGTAGATCGTATCGAGACGGTCGCAACGGCCACCAGTCGTCGCACGGACAGCCACATTGTCGCATATCGTCGTGACGGTCTCATATGGGATAGATCCGTGGTATATCTAATATATGTGTCTATATACCACGACAAGGTATTGACACGTCTTCTTATTATAACACAAGTCTTGTGCTCGCGCCTTATACGCATATGAGTGACATGTATATACAAGTCTTGTGCTCGCGCTTTTGCGCCTATGAGTGAAGTTATATTATTATTCTATACGTACGCCAATGTTCTGTCATCACCTTCGCCATCATCGTCATTACCAATTCATGGAGGGTATTTTTTCATCTTCAACGACATCTCAACAACCACTTTGAAGCCAGTGCCAGGTCATCACACATACGGTTGTCGTGAGTCGGCTATACGCCATTTTATTGTCATTGCAACTATTATTATATTGTCCTTTGCTACTAGTTTATTATGTACTATTATTGTTAAGTTACTAACACCATTATATGTAAGGTAAAGATTATTGTATTCCTTGCAAAATATTATTATTTCCTCTCTACCATTTATTAGCGTTGTTATTATTATTAGTACCTCTCTGAATACCTCACAGTGACCCAACAAGAGTCACCATCACCGGTAAATTTATTATATAGCGTGGCCAACGAGCTTATTATTTATTAACGAGAATTGGTAAGCATCATTTGGTCCTTCGAACCGGATGGTGATCCTTATGGGGGTATAATTACTTGTGAGGTATTTGTGCTGTACCTTTTATTCAGTAAAAAAACCATGAGAAGTTAGGTTTTTTATTTTGTTAATGCTTCACTCACTCTGTATACTCCTGTCAATATTCCGCATCCACCATCTGCGATATTCTGGGCTTCGATTATATCTCAACTTTACATTTGGTCACTTCGTACAATGTTCAATTCTGCATCGATTCCTGAGTGTAACAAGTTTATCATAGCACAACGAAATATACCAGTCAACCTTGAATTCACGTTTATTTTGCTTTTACGATAAATACTGTTGGGCGTCTTCGTCGCCGTCGTCGCGTCTAATCTTTGGACTTAGGACTGTTCAACGGTAACTCTTCGGTCATCACGCGTGTGTACAGATTTTACCTGTTCCGTAATCGCTACCGGTCTTCGTCCAATTAGTCGCGTATTGGCAACAAGTGTTAACGACGTCAATTACGATAGCTAAGTTAAGGTCCAGGTAACGGTCATTAGTCTGAAAAAGGGACATCTAAAAAAAATAAGTGTTATTTCTTATTACGTTCCGACTGATGTATGCAAATCATTAATCATTATTTAATACATATTGATATATTTACGTAAGCTTCAAATTTCAATCTTGGATTTTCAAGTAAATAACTTAAAGTTGAAGCGTCATTATGTCGCTGACCGCAGGAGATCGGGAGCGATTACTAAAACGAAATATTTATAAACGAGACCAAGCCGTGGAGCAAATTTCGATTTTAATGGGTGTTGTTAATAGCACAAAAAGTGAACAGTCCGATATCGCGATACTGCAACCGAGACTGGATGATCTTGAAATGTTAATTACCGACGTCCGTCTCTATCAAGATTCGATTTTAGACGGGTTTATCGAACTCGACCGCGATAGTGAATTCATTACAACACACCACCCGATAGGAAAACTCGCATTAGAACAATATTATACCATAACATCTATATGCAATGAAATTGGTTTAACTAAGCAGAATCCAGTTTCACCACCTACCACACGAAATATTCAACTACCAAGAATAGAATTGCCGTCGTTCGACGGAAATATTCTACATTGGCGAGCCTTCCGTGACACATTCGTGTCTCTAGTGCACGACAATGATCAAGTACCACCGATTCAAAAATTCCACCATTTATTGTCCGCCGTATCAGGTTCGGCGGCTGCTACGGTAAAATCGGTTCCATTGATTGAAGCCAATTATCCAATTGTATGAAAAATTTGAATGATCGCTTTGACAATAAACGTGTTCTGTTAGGTGCACATATGGATACACTTTTTCGAGTTTCTCCTATAAAAACCTAGTCTCTCGTGGAGTTAAACAATTTTCTAACTACATTCCAGGAAAATATAGTAGCGATAAATGCACTCGAAGTCGATGATTTTCCTGGTTTCTTTTTATTTTATTTTGCGGCTCGTATATTGGATCCTGTAACTCGTCAATCATTTGAATTTGAATATCACGCCGCTGAAGTACCTACTTTCGACATGTTGGCTGATTTCGTACGAATTCGGTGCCAAATGTTACAAAATTAAGTTCAGCATCAAGACCTAATGATGGGTACAAAAATAATTTTAAATCTAAAGTCTCATTAACTACATCGTCGACTTCTCCAACAGTATTATGTGGGATATGTAAAGGCAAACATGCAGCGTATCAGTGTCCAAAGTTTATCCAGCAGAAAACGTTTTCGACTTGTGAAATCAAACAGGTTATGCACGAACTGCTTAAGTACGTCCCACAAAACGTCTGACTGCGAATCGACATATACCTGCCGTCATTGTGCACTAAAACACCATTCTTTATTACACCTGGATACCGCACAAGCACGAAAAAATTCCTGTCCTACGAATAAAAGCACCAAAGTTAATCAATCAACACCCACGCCCACAGCTACATCCGTACCAACCGTGTCTAATACGACCGAAGGTGTGCCGTTTGTGGGAACGTCTAGTTCGAAAACCAACGTAGTACTGGGTACCGCTGTTATACGTATAAGTAATAACTGTGGGCAATTGTCTTCCGTTCGTGTGCTTATTGACACTGGGTCACAGATATCCGTTATTACTACTGCAGGCGTGTCAAGGTTGGGAATTAAACGTAGGCATTGTAATACCGCGGTAACTGGTTTGTCACAAACATCAGTATCTACGACAAAGGGCTCAACTAATTCCACTTTACTACCACGTCACTCGACATCACCAAAAATTTATTGTGAACCTGTCATTTTGTCCAAGATTACTGGACCGATGCCGAACGTACAATTACCAGGTACAATTCGTACCACCTACTCACATTTAACCCTTGCCAATCCTCATTTTGACGTACCAGGTCAGATCGATTTCTTGCTAGGCGCAGATATCTACCCATATATACTAGGACACTCGTGTCAAGTATTACATACGTCAAATTGTCCATCAGCATTCGAAACGCGTTTAGGGTAGATAATAGTGGGTCAATCCTCTGCGGACTCACGTACACCGCCGGTCTCCTTATTGTTGACACCAGAGCCTTCGATAGACCATTTAATCCAGCAGTTTTGGGCCATCGAAGAACCATTACCAACAAATAAGGCTTTCACGACCGACCAACAGTGTGAAGACCATTTTATTCGTACCACAACTCGAGATAGTACAGGTAGGTTTTCATTAGCATTACCATTCAGTATCGATCCATCTTGTCTTGGCGATTCTCGTGACATGGCGATATCGCGGTTCTATAATTTGGAGCTTAAATTGTTGAAAGACCCGCTAGTATATGATCACTATCGCCTATTCATGCTCGAATACGAAAAACTTGGTCATATGAGAATTGCTTCAAAACCAGGGAAATATTATGTTCCTCACCACGCAGTGGTGAAACGACATGGACCAAAAATTAAACTTCGAGTTGTATTCGACGCTTCTGCCAAGTCGTCTTCAGGAAAGTCGTTGAACAATTTGCTTCATGTTGGCCCTAAACTACAGACAGATATCACTGATTTGTTACACCGTTCTCGTTTCAACCAATACATATTCACAGCGGACATTTGTAAAATGTACCGCCAAATCAAAATTCATACAGAAGATTGTCAATACCAGCATATATTTTGGCGTGCAACACCACTAGAACCTCTACGTGACTATGAGCTTACGACGATTACATATGGACTTACGTCGTCCCCGTTCCAAGCGATTCGAGTGTTGCACGAATTAGAACAAAACGATGGACATCGTTACCCGACAACCGTTAATGTTCTGTCAACACAAACATACGTTGGCGATATTCTGACTGGCCGAAATAGTGTTATAGATTTACTTGAACTACAAGAAGAAATCACTGAACTTCTCGGCCGAGGTGGTTTTGAGTTAAAAAAATGGTCGTCAAACTGTAAAGAATTACTTTTGATCCTAAAGACGATGCAGGAGTAAGAATACTTGGACTACATTGGAATCCAACTGCCGACACATTTACTTATCATACGTCCTCCATAGTATCTAACAGTCATACCAAAAGATCAGTGTTGTCAACAATCGCCAAACTATATGATCCTCTTGGTGCTCTTGCACCCATTATATTTTGGGCCAAATGCTTCATGCAATTACTTTGGCACGCGGGTCTCCAATGGGACGAGCGATTACCGTCAAACTTAATGGACCTATGGAAACAATACGCGTCAGAATTGCATTTGGTCTCGAGTGTAAAAATTTGTCGCTATATTCCCACCGAGAAGCTCACTAGTGTGCAACTTATTGGTTTTTCAGATGCCTCGGAGAAAGGTTATGCCGCCGTGGTTTATTTGCGCACCATTCACCAGGATGGGCGTATACTTATACATTTTGTGACTGCCAAATCAAAGGTTTCACCTTCCAAGACTAGCACCACCAAAAGCACGTTGACCATACCACGCTTGGAGTTGTGCGGTGCATTATTATTAGCACAAGTGGTACATCGACTAACAAATACATTCCAGGGTAATATAGTCATCTCGGCAACGCTAGCCTGGACAGACTCAACCATAGTGTTATCATGGCTCACGTCACCCCATTCAACCTTTAAAATATTTGTTACAAATCGATTAGCAAAAATCGCCGAACTTATACCAAATTGTCACTGGCGCCATGTTGCTTCTGAGTTGAACCCGGCGGATTGCGTATCTAGAGGACTAGATGGACTATTTCCATCTCAAATTTCAAGCCAACATTTATATTGGCAGGGGCCTCTGTTTTTAAAATTACCTGAATCTGAATGGCCAATTACATCGTTCAAACCAATTCAACCATCACATCTGCCAGATTATTCGGATTCAACAAGCGCGTGTTTAGTGATGGTGCCGGAAAAGGAAGTTGAATAGTACACACGGTTTTCGTCACTAAAACGTATGCAACGAGTCACAGCCATCATGTATCGGTTTATAAGTCATACACGCGCGAAACGTGTTTCATATGTCGCCCCCAAATATATACATGACCCTATCTCTGACGAAGAAATTTCAAATGCGATGTTACCGATTGTTCGTATGACACAATCATTACACTTTGTAAGTTTGTTGAGGGCCCTACAAGTACCTACTACAAAGATAGTTAATCGATCAATTGCCCAACTTGCGGCGTTCATTGATAAAAACAACATTATACGGGTAGGTGGACGACTCCGAAATGCACTTGTATCAGCAGAAACTAAAAACCCAATATTGTTGCCAAAATCAAGTACGTTGACTACACTCATTATTCGTCATTTCCACTTGAAGCATTTCCACGCTGGACCTCAATTAACGTCGTCACTAATATCAAGTTGTTATTGGATAATCTCCAGTCGATCTGCCATACGTTACGTTGTATTCAAATGCGTCGTGTGTGCTCGCCATAGGGCGTCGAGTATTCATCCGATGATGGCCGACCTCCCATCCAGCCGAGTAACATTATGCCGACCATTTTTGCACGTTGGTATCGACTTTGATGGACCACTTATCATTGCCGAAACCCGTCGTAAGAACTCACGATCAATAAAATGTTACCTTGCTATCTTCGTGTGTATGACCATCAAAGCTGTACACATTGAAGTGGTTTCAGACCTTTCAACAAGTACGTTTTTGGCTGCTTTACAACGCTTTGTCGCTCGACGTGGTACCCCATCCGACATTTGCACTGACTGTGGAACGAACTTTAAAGGAGCAGACCAACAATTACGTCACATGATGATAGATTCCACCGCAAAAACAACATATACAACTGCAATATCATGTAAGTGGCATTTTAACCCTCCTGCAGCCCCACATTTTGGTGGCCTGTGGGAGGCTGCCGTTAAGTCCACAAAATATCATTTAAAAAGAGTTATGGGTACTCAACGGTTAACGTTTGAAGAAATGGTCACATTAACAAGTCGGATGGAAGCTCTACTCAATTCTTGACCGATAACTACATTGTCTGCTGATCCTAATGATTATCGTGCGCTAACCCCAGGACATTTTCTTATTGGTCATCCAATTGTTGAAATACCAGAAAAGGACGTAATCGACATACCTCAAAACCGCCTCACTCGTTGGGAACTTCTACGACAAATGTATCAGTCACTCTGGAAAAGATGGTCAACAGAGTATTTATCATCGTTGCAACGACGCACAAAATGGGTTGACAATCAACCAAACGTCAAGGTTGACGATTTAGTATTGATAAACATGCCGAATCAACCACCTATACACTGGAAACTGGGTCGAATACAACAAGTTCATCCGGGCGCAGATGGCGTGGTCCGGGTAGCCACGGTGCGTACTGAACATGGAACCTTAATACGACCAATAGTCAAACTAGCCATCCTCCCTCCTGATAAATGATTACCTATGTTCCCATTACTTTCCTGTTTACGTGGGTGAATTATTTATTGTTATTTTATATTGTTTTTCGTGAATTTGCATTGTATAATTATTACGGCAAGGTAGCCGGTATGTGTGTTGGATGGGCCGGGAAAAGGGAGATGTTCAAACTTCAAAGTATAAAGAGGAAGACTAAAATAATTGAAAGTCATCTAACCTTTCAATTGGGGGAGTATGTTGCGTAAAGTCATATGCACGGCAGCGTTACATAACGCAACAAATGTAGATCGTATCGAGACGGTCGCAACGGCCACCAGTCGTCGCACGGACAGCCACATTGTCGCATATCGTCGTGACGGTCTCATATGGGATAGATCCGTGGTATATCTAATATATGTGTCTATATACCACGACAAGGTATTGGCACGTCTTCTTATTATAACACAAGTCTTGTGCTCGCGCCTTATACGCATATGAGTGACATGTATATACAAGTCTTGTGCTCGCGCTTTTACGCCTATGAGTGAAGTTATATTATTATTCTATACGTACGCCAATGTTCTGTCATCACCTTCGCCATCATCGTCATTACCAATTCATGGAGGGTATTTTTTCATCTTCAACGACATCTCAACAACCACTTTGAAGCCAGTGCCAGGTCATCACACATACGGTTGTCGTGAGTCGGCTATACGCCATTTTATTGTCATTGCAACTATTATTATATTGTCCTTTGCTACTAGTTTATTATGTACTATTATTGTTAAGTTACTAACACCATTATATGTAAGGTAAAGATTATTGTATTCCTTGCAAAATATTATTATTTCCTCTCTACCATTTATTAGCGTTGTTATTATTATTAGTACCTCTCTGAATACCTCACAGTGACCCAACAAGAGTCACCATCACCGGTAAAATTATTATATAGCGTGGCCAACGAGCTCATTATTTATTAACGAGAATTGGTACGCATCATGTTTATTAAATATTAAATTATACCAACACACCCTTATTAATAATTTAATAAATATAAATTTGTTTTATCAAATAGAAATTTAAATCCATATACTATTTGCCTATCTAATCTAATTAAATATATCTATTAACGCGATTCTTTTATCAAAAAAATAACAGAAATGTTTGTATAATATTAAAGTATTGGATTATTTTTATTTTAGTATTAATATTTCAAGTATAACACCTTAACAACAAAAATTAAAAATATTATAACTTGATGGATTATTTTTAAATAAACTGAGCAAAGTAAAGTTAATTAACTTTGAATTAAACTAGTTAAGTTCATAAGTTAATAAGAAAATTAAATAACTAGTTAACTAACTTGGGCCAGTTTTGAAATTCTATTGTAAATAACTTAAGATTAATTAATCTAGAGGTATTTTCAATATATCATTTTTTTTTAGTTAAAGTTTGAATTATTCATTTTTGTTGCATTTGAAGAATAACAATTATTCCTTCTATTTTTTTTATTTTTTTTCTGCTTGCCCCATGTTGTACCGAATATTGACAACATGGGGCATTCATGTTTTTCTTATTTTATAATTCACTTAAACCAACTTGGGGCACTATTCTAAATTTTTGAAAATTCTAGACAATGTTCTGAATTTAACAAATATACTTTGTACCTAGTGAGTATATATTAACATATTAACATATAAACATAATAATTACATTCTTGTTCTTAACATTTTCACTAATTTTTCTCAGACATTCACCCATCTGTACAAAATTAAAAATATAACTGTAGGTACTATTTAGACTAAATTGTATAAAGTTTAGTCTTGTTTAGATAGAATGGACTTGTTTAAATTTATCCTAATTATAACTTTGACCATGGATGAATAATAGTGGCCCAAGTTGGACTAAATAAGTAAATCGCAATGTACAGAAATGTGTGCACGATTATAATAATTTATAATATGGAGTAGTAAATTTAACACGTGTCTGAACATATTTTTTATATAAAACGTCTCATTCAATGAGTATTAGTGTAAGTTTTCGGACTTTTTAAAAACTATAGGTACTAAACATAAGATGAATTAATAAAAATTAATACTTACGTATCATATTTGATGCTGCATCACTACCAAAGTGATTTTAAATATTGTTAAGATAACAACAGAATATTTGCATCACATTAATTAATTGAGTTATGAAGGTAAAACCAAAAGATAATATTTTTGCCCCAAGTTAAACACGTGTGCCTAGTTGACGTTTTAACTTAACTTTAACTTTTTATATAGTTAATGCCCACCTTTGGAAAATTGTACATAATTTAAATAGATATATAAATATAATTTATCAATAGTAAACTAAAAAATAATTGATTTTTATTTTAGTGTAATGTAATGTACAATTATTAGCCTTTACTCAGAAACTATACTAATGTTTTATTGTTATATTTCAGGTATCCTGGTGTTATCAGGAAACATCTTCAAGAAGTGAATAACACTTGTATATTAAAAAACTGGAATACATTAAGACTGAAAAATCAATGAAGCTAAAGATGTATTGTAAACATGATGGCTGTAAAAGGTTCAAACTTAACATTTTACCTACTGGTGAAGAAGCAGTTGTTGAAGTTTACAGTACAAGTATAAACTTTAATCATAAACCAGATGCTCGATACACTACTCAAATTAGGGGAGTTGAACGAAAAATTATTGCAGAAAAAATTAAAGCGAAAAGTGCTTTTAAGTATAGACAGGAGTGTGTATTATCAGTTTCACCTATTAAATTAATGGAATGTGGAAATTTGCAAACAATTAAATCTCCTTCGATGTTAAGGAAACTGAATAGTGAACAACAGTTTAAAGGGGATTTCAACCGAAATGATCACTTTGATGTAGTCTTAATGGCCAAAGAACATCCATGGTTGAATATGAAAGTTCCCGAAAGTATAGAAGAACCATTCAATGTAACATGGGCAAGCCAACAGCAGTTGGCAATGGTTCAAAATTTATTTAAACAAGGTGTGTTAACAACTATTCATGTGGATTCAACAGGATCAGTTGTTAGGCCCCCTCAGAGCTCAACAAAACAAACTATTTATTATTATGCTTGTGTAGTGCGTATAGGTGAAATTGAAACCGTATGCCCAATAACTGATATGGTCAGTGCAACACATGATAGAGAAACTGTTACAAAATGTTTGAAATGTTTCAAAGATCTAGTAATTGTAAAAGATCCAAGTATCTGGCCGCATTTCAAAAATGTTGTAACTGATTTCAGTTGGGCTTTTATGCATGGTATTTCTAAAGCATGGAATGGTAAAGAAACAATATTTGAATACCTGGATATGTGCCATCGAATAATAACTGGAAGAGAAACATTGTCTTATAGCACAGTAGTTATTACTTCTTGTACAAACCATTATGTTAAAAATATTCTGAACCATGTTAAACACTATTATCCAGATGATGAAAAAACAGCATTTTATATAGCCAGATGTGTTGGGTTAGTGTTTGAAACGAACAATTATGAAGAAATCAAACATTGGTTTAAGTTGCTGTCGACTATGATCTTGTCAGACAAGTCAACGGAAATGTGTAAAGCAGCAAGTATGGAAATGAAATCGTACCTAAAAACAAACAATGGAATAGTTGAGTATGAAATTGAAATGTTTGATGACGATAAAAATTACTCTTGTGGTAAAACCACTGATACCTTGTATTATGCCGAACGAAAAAAATCTGCATTTTATCATGATTTTAAACAAATATTCGACAGTGTGAGAAAAATGGTAAATATTACATCACAGGATAATAATCACCTAGATGTTAATAGTATGTATTCAGAAGAGTACTTGTTACATTTCCTTATTGAAAATGTGCCATACATGCCTCTGTGGACAAAAGTTATGACTACTCTTGTTCATCTGGAAGAACGCCAGAGTAATGCATCAGTAGAAAGTTGGTTTAATTTAATGAAAAATCATATTTTACAAGGCACAAGAAGAATGAAATGTAGTAGGTTTATAGAAAATATAACCCAATATGAAGCTCAATGCTTTAGACAGGTTGAATTACAAATACCTAAACGTATATGTGCCATAAAAAAAAAAGCTGATTGTGACGAGGACAACCTGCATTTAAATACTCCAGAAACATGGAGGAAGAAAGGAAAACGTCCAGCATTCTTGAGAAACAATAATAACATTTTAGGCAAAAGTTATGGTGAAAACCAACAAAATTGTTTGTCATTAAATATACAGAGCCAAGATAAAACACTACAACAGGGTGTTGTATTACATTCAAAAGGAGATGAGTTTAATAATGATCATCTCACTGTTTGCAGTCAAACAGATCAACCAATTGTACGCAGTTTGGATAAAGGTGAGCAATTATTTGATAACCTCAGTGACGTCAGTGATCACGGTTGTCTATTAACAAGAGAAAATAGTACAAGTCCAAGAGTCATTGAGAATATAAATAAAACTGTTGATAATGCTTCACCTGTGGCTTAGACTACCCAAATTCTATCAGACACTTATGGGCACGCAGTTGTATGGGAATCGTCCACCGATAAGTCTCCAACAGGAAATTATAACTTATACCGTACGAACAAATTGGTGAAAGGTCCAATGTATTACATGAAGTCTTATCGTGGAGTTGAGAAATATGTGGTATCGCAAATTTCTTTTGAAAACGAAGAGATAGAAATATCTTCTTTAGATTTTTTGAATTTAAACACTAAAGGCGATACTAGTATGCTTTGGTTACAGAATAAAGAAATATGGTGTTTGTTACAGATATTTTTGGAGAGAAATTCAAGGTCTTGGATAACTAAAAAAAGACAGCAGTTAGGCTGTGTGAGCCCAGATCAATCTTACTATATGTTCAATCTTGGTAGAAGTGTTGAAGATTCTACAGCTAGCAGACAAGAATGGATTGATTCATCGAGGTTATTAATACCTTTACTGGAAAAAGACCATTGGACTTTGATCTATGTAGATTTTATAAAAAAAAACAGTAAGTTATTTAAATTCTATAGAAAGTGTGCATAAAAATACTGAGAAGAGAAATTACTGGAAGGACAGAGTTCTTAATGTCATATGTGGTGTGCCTAAAACATGGAAACCAAAGCAAAACGTAGGTGATATCAAAAAATGGAAAGATATGTTTGTCCAAATACCATATCAAGACGATGGGTTTAACTGTGGTGTATTTATGTTGTACTTTGCAAATCAATTAATGAATAATAAAAGAATAATTAATGATTTTAATCCAAACAGTTATCGTTTAAACTTACAGGATTTGGTACTATCAAGTTCAAAGTGTATGAAGAACATTTGCTTAATTTGTGGAAAAGACGAGGGTAGTTTTAAACAAAATTATAATTGTGAAATGGATAGTACAATGGTACAGTGTGGGTCTTGTACTAGATGGCTGCATATCTCATGTTTACCAGCAATGGAACAAACAGAATTTGAAAACCCAGATTGGGTTTGTGGACTATGTCCTACTATCTAAAATAAATTCTTATAAATATAATTAATGTCTGTGTTATAACATTAATATGTTTTTTACATTAGTTTGGTGTTTAATCTATTAGCTATCACATTTAAAGCGATGACTCTTTGATTTTTAAATTCCACTCAATTAGTATTGAGGAAATATGAGCATCAAGATTTATTCAAAAAATTATGTTTTAGTGATAACTCATGATTTTAAATTCCACTCAATAAGTTTTGAGGAAATAACAATGTTATTAATTGTTAAAACTATTTTTATTTTAAATAGAAAATGACTAAAGTTGGACAAAACTTTAAATTTGAAAAAAAATCAGTAAAATTATCTATATTATCTCATATCAATTTTACATTTTCACAGTAATTATTTTTTTAATTAACTTATAAGGTATTTAAAGTTCAAACTATTTTTGTTGGTAAGACTAATTAAAAATTGATTTGTCCAACTTTGAGCCACTTATATGAAAGAGTTCATTCAAGCGCTTACAATAATTCCACTCATTTAATTTTGAGGAAATGTAAGGCATTCATATTCAATTTTATTTTCAGAAGAATATGTCTATGATGAACTCTATGAGCAGTATAATAGCTAATAATAATTTGGTATTATGGTTTATTCATAAAATGAGTTTGTCATGGAAAACTATTAGACTATAGTTGTAGTAATTAAAAATGAAATTGTAAACAGTTATGTTTGTATATAAAATGCTTACTATGCATTTATATTATGTGTGTGTAATATAGTTTAGCTGTAAAAAAAAAGAAATGCGGGTTTTTAGGCCTACAGGGGATCTTTTTACCGCTTTAAAAATCTTAAAAGAAACGAATCTAAATGCAATACCTCATGGGTGGATTTGGAAATTTGCATTAATAATATATTGTTGGCACAAATAAGTAATTGAAATTGTGCATCACAATATATCATATAGGTAGTGTTAAGGTATAATTTTAAATATATCAAAAATATGTGCAAATAATGATGTAGGTACCTAAACAATTTTAAACAGTAGTGTACGTAAGTTATGGCTGGGGGGGGGGGGGTGAATATGTTTAGGAAGGTTTATGTAGATACCACAAAAATAAGTTAAATAAGTTATGAAAGGGGCACTTATATGTATTTAACATTGTGTTATTAAATGTTAAATGATAAATATTTTAAACATAGTTATAAACCCATTGAACATTGAATCACAATGTTACTTATGAAGCATTAATAAATAAAAATGATTTATATTATAACATGCTTTGGTTTTTTAAGTAAACAAAATTAATGTAAATATTTGTACATTTTAATTTATTTACAATTATATTTTTATTATAAATGTATTTGTAAGTTACATATGTGGTATAAAGATGATTTTAAAATTATTTTTTTTATGTAGGTATGTAATTTTTACAATAAAATATAATACATCAATAAAATTGTAAAACAACATAAAATTAAACAAATAATTATTTTAACAACATTATGTACTTATTATTTGAATAATTGGGAGCTTTTGTTGTGATAATTCTATCTTCAGGTAATTTGTCTGCAAATACACATAAGTACATACAATTGTATTTAATTTATTATATATTTTATTGTTATTTTGTGTTATTTAAAAAAAATGATTACAGTTTAATTATAATCATACAATTATAAAAAAATTGGGCCTTCCAAAATAATGATTTAAATAAGGAGGTATAACAAATGGCTTATCTCTGGATACTGTGGTTTGTTGAGGAAATTAAAGATTGATTTTCTAAATTTTAAGCAACTATTATTTACGTGGTACCTATGCATAAGTTAAAATATGTAACTACAAATAATATTTTCAAATAATGAAAAACATCATGCAGTGATATTGACTACACAATCTAATTAATTTATAATATTGGTATTTTTGTTCTTCAGCGTCATTTATTTTGCAAATTCTGCATACATCTTAAGTTAAGTAACTAAACAAATTACAAAGTATCTAATTTTTCTAGGAACTGTGTAAATACTGTATGCACTGACTACCAATAGAATAATTTAGATATAAGTGACTATTGTTAGACCAAAATCACAACTCTAAAATATCTACCTATACTATTTTTGGTATATATTAACATATTTGATTTTTTTCATGAAACAAGAAAAATAGTAGATTCAATATCACAACAAATATTTGTACGTACCTACATTAAATTGAAGACTATTTAAATATAATATTTAAATCCTTAAAAAACAAAAATTAAAATCCTGCAAATACCAGATGAACATGCTTTTTGTGTATTTCAATGTTGTTTTGATATTTATTTTAATCTGACCTATAGCCATAGTTATATAGATATTATAAAAATATCAATAGAAAAATATGGATGGGTTGGAATCAGCCTAGTATTTACTTGTCTGGCCGACTGGGCACATCCCATGGTTATAGGCCATTGATGAATAAACTCAAATTCTTGTCTCTAGCAGATAGAAGAGTTTAAGCTAATTTGGTATTTGTGCACAAGCTAATTGAGAGACGTGTGGATGCTCCCTCTCTTCCTTCTCATTTTAAATTACATTATCATTTAACTAGGTTTAGTTTTCCTATGTTCCATTTCACAACACCTACTATTAAAGAAATAATTCCATTCGCCGTATGATGTACATTGATAAAGGTACGGTTTCCCTGCAACGTCTGGACGCGGCGTCTAGCGTCACTACCGGTCTGGACGTAGGTCGCGTCTAGACGCCGCGCCTGACCCAGCCATGCTGTTCTCGCGTCTGACGCTGCAGGGAAACCGTACCTTAACAAGCACCTTAGTTTCTCTTAAAATGTTTTTATAAATAATAGTACTGCAATCTGTTGTTACTATTTTATAGTTATTTTGCTATTTGTTTATTAGACTTCACTTTAACGATTATGTTATATTGTTCATATTTATATATTAGTATATTACTATAAATTGTTTTGTACTTTTGGGCTCCTTATTAAATTAAATTTTAGTTGCCCCTAATAAATTTAGTAAATGCAACTTAATATAACTGGTATCAACCATTCTCTTATCAGTGGTATAGGAGCTAACTATGACGGAGCTATCTTCACAGACATTATAAAAAGTTCAAAAAAAATAATATAGATACATAATCTCCTTTTTACATTTTTAAATAATACTGGCTTCATAAAATTGTTAATAACAAAAGTAATATTTTATATAAAATAATATTAAATATTGGACATGATTATATATGTATTCATGAGCTAAAATATCAAATAAATGTAAAATATTTTTTATCAACTTCACTTCTATTTAATAAAATATAAAAATTAAAAAAAAAAAAAAATAATAAACATTTTATCCTTTTTACATTTTTAAATAAAAACTGGCTTTATAATAATAATAATAATATTTCATATTCATTTTTTTAAAATAATATTTTATATCCTTATTTTTAATAACAAAACTTATGGTACCTACTTATTAATTATTTTACATAAACAAATTATCTTCCACGCTTTCATTTTGTTCAGTGTTGGTAAAATAAGTTTCTGGAGCTTGAGATCTATTAGATGATGGATTTGGATTTGGAGAAGGTTGACTTATGCGAGAATTCACTGATGAATGAGGAGAAAAAGAAGAAACCGTAGGAGACATATTATTAATAGAATGTATCATATTTGAATGCAATTGAGACAAAGAAGTGTTATGATTATATGGAGGTATGGCATAATCATTATAGGATGGTGGATACTGATGTCCAAGCTGCATTGTAGGTAAATGCGATTGTACAGTATGGTTTCGTGTTTCACATTTTGTACGGAAAATTAATTCGTCGATCTCGTGCATGAGTATTTCCCGAGTAGACTCATCAAATGTTCTAAGTTTTCGAGCCAGTAGTTCTGCATATAAAGAACAATCATCTTTTTGTGGTTTTTCAACGACATTTTTCATAATTTTGTATGCATCCATCATGCAGTCTTCAATTACGTTCTTTCTTTTCATTCCTTTGGTCGCTGGGGATTTAAAAACTGATGAACCTGGAGACGGTAAGGCTGATTCTGTTAAAATAACATCATCTTCTATGTTTTCTTCGGCTACATTTGATATATCATCTTGATCAATAAATTCCTAATCAAACCAAAAATAACATAAGATGACATTAAATTTTCATATTTTCAACTCCTTAATAAATATCGCGTACTTTTTTTGAGATCCTAGATTCTCTAAATCTTTAATACTAATTTTAATAATAATTTTTCGTGTATAATGAACTATTATATAGAGTTCAATTTAAATTTAACCAACTTCTACCACCTGTCCACCGTTTTTAATATTATTTTAAGAGTATTAATCTCAAAACAATTACACTTTTATTTAATACATTATTATTATTATTATTATTATTATAAAAAAAAATGTGGGTAAGTGGATGTCGCTCTGCTGTACAGTAGGTTACAAGTGGGTCACTGTATAATGGATGCTATTAAATTTGAATTCAATGATACAATATCATTGTATAAGAAAAACGATTCTGAGCGAAGACGGTATGTCAGTCTAGGTTTAAGACAAATTATATACATATCTATGGTATTAAAACAAAAATTGACCTATAATAAATTCCAAATTAATCATATCACATTATCACAATATCCATTAGGTACTTATAACACGTTATACATCAACATCAATAACAAACCCTGATACTATCATAGATATATAATAGTACACTTTAGAAGTTTCAAGTATAGGTACCCACGAATAATATTATATAATCATAACAAAATAACTAGGTTTTTTAATATGTAATTTCGTCCAAATTTGAACATAAAATGACTATAAAAATAAACTGTGATTGTATATTTTTTAGATTTTTCGGTAAGAGAATTAACTACTTACGTGGAATCTTGTTTTAAATTTTCAATCCTTAGCTATAAAAACTGAACATTTTATAATTTATTAATTACGACGATTAATAATTTTCGAGATTTTGAAAAATTCTGTTAAAATTCGATGTTTAAATGCTTATAAAAAAAAATTGTGCCTATGTATTTTTAATATTTTTCAACTGATATTGTAACAATATATCAGGAGCCTTGTATTAAATTTTTACACTTTTTGGCCCAACAGATAAAACTTTATTGATATTCATAGAAAAAAAAAAAACTAAAAAAATTGAAAAATGAAAATATCCGTAGACAGCTCAAAAAGAGTCAAAATATTTTCAACATTGTATGGTGTATAGGAAATGCTAATATAAACATTCAGTGAAATTTTCATGTATCTATAGATATTCGTTTATGAATAACAACCAAATAAGGAAATCGCTACATGAGAAATCGAATGTAATCGTAATGTTGTAAAAATTTGAATTTCAAACGCTCATAAAAATTGAATTTGACTGTCCGGTAGAGATTTTTTTATTGATAAAGGTAGACAAATGTATGAGGAAACTTGTATTACATTTTATAATCTTAGGATGAAAAAGAAAAATTTTACGAATTCTTAACTCAAAATAATTTGCTAATTTTCGTGATTTTTCCATATTTTGTCAATTTTTCAACTTTAAATGCTTATAAAAAAAAACTGTAACTAACGATTTTTAATCTGGCCTTTGAAACAATATACTAGGAGCCTTCTATTAAATTTTCAAGTTTTTTTAACCAACAAATACAATTTTATTGATATTTCTAGAAAAAAAACTAAAAAAAAATGAAAAATGAAAATGTCCCTAAACAGTTCAAAATAAATCAAAATATTTTGAAAATGTTATCGTGTATAGAAAATTCAAATATAAACAACCAGTGAAAATTTCATGTATTGAATCATTGTTTTAAAGTTACACCAAAAACCAAATTCAATTTTCTGAAAAATCGATTTTGCGTAAAAATTCCCGTTTTTCCTTAATTTTTCTTTTGTTTTTCTTGGCGCTTTTGAAAAGTACTGGTAATTTTAAATTTTGACCTCCCCAATGCACCAACGATATTCACTTTCCAATCGAACAAGATACTGAAGTCGAAAATCGAAGCATTATTTCGACTACTTATCGTGTACACAGACACAAAAAAAATAAAAATAAAAAATAAAATAAAAAAACACACATCATTGTAAAATCAATAAATTCATCGTTTCACTCAGAATCTAAAATTAAAATTATGTAATGAAATTTAAAAATTATTTTCAGGTACCTTCATCGCCACTAGACTGGCAGAAAATTGCTGAAGAATACAATGAGAAGTGGAATTTTCCAAATTGTATTGGGGCCATAGACGTCAAACATATCGTTTTACAATCTCCTATGAATAGTGGTTCAGAGTAGGTACATAAATTACAAAGGCACTTTTAGTGTGGTACTAATGGCTTTAGTGGATGCTGATAATTGTTTTACATATGCTGATGTGGGTTGCCAAGGACGTATAAGCGATGGCGGGGTTTTTCGTAATTCAACGTTATTTAAAAAATTGAACGAAAATCAATTAAATCTTCCACCTAATAAACCACTGCTTGGAAAGGAAACATTTATACCTTACGTGTTTGTCGCAGATGATGCCTTCGAGTTAAGTCCCCATATTATGAAACCTTACGCAGGCGTTTTCAATAAAGGAAGTACACAAAGAATATTTAACTATCGACTTTCACGCGCTCGCAGGGTAGTGGAAAACGTGTTCGGGATTATGGCATCTGTATTTCGGATACTTAGAAAACCCATGTTACTTGAACCACAAAAAGCTTCAAATATAGTAATGACTTGTGTTTTATTACATAATTTTTTACGAAAAAGTAGATCATCGTCTTCAAAATATTTACCTAGAGACACATTGGACATTGAAAATGATGATCAATTGATTCTGGGTTCGTGGCGTAATGAACAAAATGATATTACGTCTATGGTGCCAATTCGTAAAGTACCAAGAAAATCAGGAGATGAAGCTAAAATGATTCGAGATACATTTGCTGAGTACTTTAAGACAAACGGAAAAGTACAGTGGCAAGAAGCATATTGTTAAACTTCTACAATTGTTTGTTATTATTATTTTATTTTTTTTTAGTGTAAAATTCTTATTAAAATGTTTGCATTTTTAAATATTTTCATAATTTTACACAATTATATTGTAATCAAATATTTAATCAAATTAAAATATAAAACTTAAGTACTTTAATAATTTACTTATTGAGTAATAGTATAACTTTAAATTTAAATTAGGTGTGTACAAAAAAAATATAATATAGATTTAAAATTGTACTAATGCAATATCGTGCGTTTTATTTATATGGTAAATTCATGTTATATTTTCGATAATTGTAATAACTATATTAATTATTCTGATAATACTCATCAATAAAGCAGGCATTAATAACAATTACTATTTACAATAAATCACTTTAACATAAAAATAAAAATATAAACATACCTCTGTATTAATTGTGACGTTTGGTTGATAAATACTGTGTAAAAATGTTGCCATGGGTTCGTAAAAAATTCAATTAGGTTTAAACACATTATTTGCCGCAGAACCAGTTCTCATACTATCCTTCACTTTATGGGATAGTAGTGGTCGAAAAGATGCCATCAGTGAATCTTTTTTTTTTTTGAGATCTTGGATTGAACAGTTTACACTTAGTTGATCTTTTATCCTCTTCCAAGCATCACTAACAGCGTTCCTATTTTTGTGTAAAGGATCTTTAGGATTCCATATTAATCCTTCTTTTTCATAAAGATTTAAAAATATCATTGTATTTTCATTTGACCATTCCATTTTTAATAAAATACGCACCAAAAATATACTATGAATAACTAATGAGTATACTGATGAATTAAATTATTAAAATATTAATTTAGTAAAGGCAATATAGTCACCGCAAATGCGTACACTAAATTAATTGCACATTACCACGTTGCAGACATCCAACAAACTAATCAAACTAAACTAGTACTGAGTACTAGCCGAGTACTGAGCGAGGACTACGAATCGTGTGGGAAACTCCACGATTACCGAATTATCGATACGCGATTATTTATAATTCCTTTGACTCGTGTCACATTTACCGACAACCGATGGGAAACACCGAGCGACTCGGCGATTAAAAATAATTGCCATACTTGACTCGTAAAGCATCACGATTGACGATTATTCACCGAGTACACGAGTCGTGTGGGACCGGCTTAATAGAAGGATGTTCTTATAATATACTTGAGGAAGAAGAAGGTTTTGGTGAGAAACGGATTTGTCACCAATATAAGAGCAAGTCATTCAATCATGCGAGAAATGAGCTAAACGCAGAAGAAAACTGGAGAGGAGAGACAGAAAAAAATAAAAAGAGGTCAAATTATTTACAAAAAGATCCAACAATATTGTTTTATAATGATTCCAGCAAAACAAAATCTCCCGTAATTGGAATCCTTAAAAATGGAAACCGTTCAAACCTCAAAAGTATCCAGATTCATGGTAAATTTTACATTTCTTCCAATACATGCGCATTTGATTCTATCATTCATATATTATGTACAAGCTACTGTGACAGTAAATTGTATGCTGAGTTCGTTAATTCCAATAATGATTATATAATTTTTAAACTTATAATTAATTATATTAAAGACGGAATTAATGTACAGACATACCGAAAACGGTCAATGATATTAAAGAAAATATGTAATCTGAAAGAACTTCCAGAGCAGTTGATCTGCATTCAAGCTGACAGTTGACACCACTATTGAAGTCATGGCAAGAAATTTATTAGAAACTTGGCCATCTCGCGTGGACACCCAGAATTGTGTCAGTTGCCCACGTCAACAAATTAGCCAGCAGCCAATTCTAGTAAATGTGAATGATATTCAAAATCTAAACGTGCTGCTCATGGCTGACGGAAATGTAAACAAATGTATCCAATGCAATCGTCGTTTAACTAATCCATACAAGTAAGAATATCTTTTTTCTTATAAAATAATATAGTAAACTACAGCCATTTAAAAATGATTGGACTTACTAAGTTTTCTATTCAAGTTGTGTTCTTCACAAATATTCAAAAATATAATATGATAATTTAGGCATACATATTATACTTAATCCTGTAGGCAGACAAAATATCTAATATACATGGGTATTCACTATTTATCTATAGATGATTAATTTAAAAAATATAAATTTTCAAGGAAGTCTTAATATATTCTAGAGAACTAAAATATCGTTGACCTCCTTCTGCTTATAAAGAATACCTATATTTTATAGCCATTATAAACGTTTTTATATAAATATATAATATAACATTATATTTACCTAAGTTTTATTTTTGATATGTTCTGTGTACATTTAACTTCACTTTTATTTATCCATATATATACTATATTTATACATATAATCTTTGATACTATAAGCTTTCGGGAGTTTATAAATAAGTAAAAACTTAGACATTTCGCACTCATAAAAAATCATAATAATATAAGTAGGTACCTATTTAAAGATAATTTCTTATAAATCAGAATATTATAAGACATCATTTGACAATTTGATAGGAACAATTTAAATAGAAAAGGTATAAAGAATATGTCATGTTTGTTTTAGAATAACTCTTTTATTATTACTAATTAGTAATTACAAATGTAATTTGATTTACGCGTTACAGGTACGGAGAACACATTTTAATAATGACCGCGCCCAACATAGATTTTGCAAAAATTCCTGACATCGACAACCCAGATGTTGAGCTAATTCAAGATCAAAATTCATATGTTTCAGGAATACAAATAAAATTAAAAGATATACCAGCTTTTATCACAATTAAACGTCAAATATACAAACTTCGTGGGGTCATACATTTTTTAAAACCAACAAATATAACTGTGGATAGTATTGGTCATTATAGGTCATATTGTTTTCGAGAAGGGTCAAACAAATGGGAATTATATGATGATTATAACAGTATCCCACAAAAATGTAAAGACACAATAGTTGTTAATGCAGAAATGATTATTTACACTATTTAAATGTAATGCATAATATGTACATTTACAATATAATACTTAAATAATATATGGAGGACATGGATATCGTTATTTTAATTTTATATTTTACTATTACTTTTTTATGGAAGAACTAGAATTATTATTTATTATTAAATAACTATTATGTTTTTTTATTATTATAATATATTTCTTACAAAGTTTGTTAAATTCATTTATTATACCTACAATGTTATTGTGATGGATACTATTAGCGTTACTATACATATAATTAAATTGTTTCAACTGTTAATATTTATATAATATATGAAGGGTATTATCATTATTTTTATTTTATAATTACTATTATGTGTTTTTATTATTATTATTATTATATATTTCTTACAAACTTTGTTAGATTCGTTTATTATAGGTACAATGTTATTGTGATAGATACCTTTATCTTTACTATGAATATTATTAATTTATTTGAATTATAAATTATTTTTTAGGTTAGCACAAACTCGGGACCGAGTAGAGCAAACGGCATTAACGTAGCACAATCGAATGAAAAAAAAAATTTTCGAAATTCCAATATGGAGGGGCTAACATTTCTTCAGCCCCGCTATACTTAAAATTTGATTTCATAGGACTAGGAAGTCAGCACAAACGCGGGACCGAGTAGAACAAACAGCACTAACGTAGCACAATCGAATGAAAAAAAAATTTCGAAATTCCAATATGGTGGGACTGGGGAAATGGACCTCCTCTTGCGCTGTTCTTACAGCGTTGCATCGTATGATGAACAAATGCGTGTGTTGGCAATAAATGACCTGTATGAAAATGAAGGCGGCGAAGACCCACTGCAAGAAGAACAATTCAACATCATAGGTAAATACTAAATATATTATAGTAAATTCAAAATTAATTTAACTCTAGAATTGTAATATTCAACTTTTGTACTAACTAGTAATTATTGTTTGATTTTAGATGACTTGAATAAAGACGAAAGAGAGGAAGAGCCTCGTGATAACTTTGGTGAGAAAATAAAATAAAAATATTTATTTTTTGTCATTATTAATTTAATTGTTTTATTTAAAATTACTTCATAGATCAATTGAAGGGATGGATGAAGCAGCAAGAGCAAGACTAGATAGTAAGACTAATATTGTTAATAACTTACTATTAATTTGAATGAATTGATTGACATTAAAAATATTACTGTTAACATAAATGTTGTTAAATACTCTATATTCACTTAGTAGTTTTAATTGATTTAATAATGATTAATATTAAAGTTTTAATAATATTTCTGGTTAGATCGTAATTGATTGACTATTTTTTTTTTAAATACTAATTTCTCTTATGTAATTTATGATTAAAAAGTTCTTAACGAGTCCAATGAGGAACTAAATCTACAGATGTTGTTGATGGCGAGGGTCATGTCATTTTAATTACCAATTACCTAAATATTTCCTTACCTAATCAATGTTATAACCTGTCTAATTCATGTAACAATAATCTTAATATCTCCATAATTATAACCAACTGGGGGTTCAAATGTTTCTAAGCTTCTGCCACATCATACTATTTATATTGTAATACAAATTATAAATCTTTGGACCAATATATCTTAAATAGTATAATTATGATCTATTTATATATATTTATCAATATTTGTTTCATCTAACCTATTCTTAAAATATTTATAATTCATATTATGTTTCAAAGAAAATGTAGTTGCTTATTCATACATTTTATTTTATTTTTCAGATAATGAGGAGGATTTCATAATTCTGGAAGACACAGTTCCAGATATGGTGTTTATGATGGAACTTGAAGCTAGAAATAGGCAGTTAGCATTGGAAAATATTCCATATTTTCGAGTCCCGAGTATCCTTCCTTCCTTAAACGATCAGGATTCTAAGTGTATAATATGCACAGACGCTGAAAGGACACATGCTTTATTTCCTTGTGGACATAGAATTTTATGTTTTGATTGTTTAAACCTCTTAGATCTTAAACGTTGTTCAGTATCTAATGAATATTTTACCAACTTTCTTAGGATTCGATAAAACATAGAAATATATATGTTATATATATATATATATATCCATATATGTTCATAATTTTTTTTTTTTTTTGTAATTTAAATATTTTATTCAATCTGTTTCAATACATGAACAATAAGAACAATTGATGAAAGTAAAAAATAAAATAAAATATAAATAAATGACAGATTATCACGAATATAGAGGCCTCCCAGCGGAGGTACTACAACATGAACAGGACTAAATTAGGCTAGCAGGTCGCGACACCACTGTCTTTTAAGTCTTTTAACTGGGTTACCTGGGATAGAAGCAGATGAAAGGTCGGAGATAAACGGATTCTTATAGTGAGCTAGGCGGCTATTGAAACGTTTATAATGAGTTTTGGCTAGTTCAGAGACAAATGGTATTTTGAGATCAGTGTGGAGGGTGTGGTTAGAGACATAGAATGGTGCTTTTAGATGGTACTCTACGCAAAGTTTTGGATTGGAATCTTTGAATGCGGTTGATGTTGAAGATTTTGGCAGCGCCCCATAGTTGAATCCCATAAGTCCAGATGGGTCTGAGTAGGAGTTTGTAGAGCAGGAGTTTGTTGGAAGGTTTCATGTGCTTTGATGTTAGAAGTGGACGAAGGAGTCGGAAGCGGTCATTTAGTGTATGGGTTTTGTTAATTATGTGAGGTTTCCAAGTGAGACGGCGGTCGATAAGGATACCGAGGTAACGTATGCATTGCGCAGGGGTAAGTGGTTGGTTGTTGAGGTAAAGTGTTGGACATACTCCTTGACGAAGTGCAAAGGTACCGTGGATGGACTTGATTTCGTTCATTTTTACTCCCCATGTTTTGTACCACGATTCAAAGGAGAAGAGATGATCTTGTATGTAGGAGGAGGCTAAAACAGGATCAGGGCTGGTTGCTAGTATGGCTTTGTCGTCAGCATAATCACCGACTAAGGTATGGGGTGAAGTAGGCTGGTCGGAGATGTAGAGATTGAAGAGTAGGGGAGCAATTACTGCGCCTTGTGGAACGCCTGTTTTTATTTCAGTAGGAGAGGAGAAGTAAGAACCAACAAGTACGGAGAAGAACCGATCTTCGAGGTAGGATTTGAGGATCAGATAGTAGTGACTAGGAAGGATAGGTTTTAATTTATATAGGAGGCCTGAGTGCCAGACTCTATCGAAAGCTTGGGAGACGTCAAGAAAAGCACCAGTGCAGTATAATTTTTCCTCTAGGGCAAATGAAATTTTGTCAACCAGGCGATGAATCTGATGGATCGTTGAGTGACTGTTGCGAAAACCAAATTGAGAGTCAGGTAGTATTTTAGCTTCATCAACTATTGGCAGTATTCGTTTGAGAAGAAGTTTTTCAAATAGTTTGGAGAGAGTTGGTAGGAGACTTATAGGCCTATATGAGGAAGGACAGTCAGGGGGTTTTTTGGTTTTGGTATTAGTATTATGATAGAATATTTCCATAATATAGGAAAGTATGATAAACGGAGCATAGCATTGTAAATTTGTGTTAGGAAAACTGTGGTTTTTCTGGGAAGGTGTTTGATCACTTCCGTCGAAATTAAGTCAAAACCAGAAGATTTTTTCGGTGAGTTTTTCTTTAAATTAAATTCAACTTCCCCAGGGGTAAAAGCTCTAGGAGGAGGATACATTGGAAGAGGAGAGTTAAGATAGCTTTCAACTTCTTGGATTTTGGTTGGAGAGATAATATTGTGATGTGGTTGAAATGTGTTAGATAGGTGGTTGACAAATATGTTGGCTTGAGATTGTTCAGACAGTGCCCAGCTACCATCAGCATTACGTAGAGTAGGGGGAGAATTGTGAATTCGTAGTAGTTTCCTAGTGGCTTTCCATAGGGAGCTATCCATGCCAGTGAGAGAAGAAATATAGTTTGCGTAAGACTCCGATTTAAGGTTAGCTAGCAGACGATTCAACTTTTGGGTGAGTGCATTGTAAAGGGATTTGTCGATAGGATATCGAGTTCTTTGCCAAATACCACAAGCGCGACGTTTTTGTGAGATGAGAGTTCGTATGTAGGAGGGGAGATGAGGGGAAGGCTTAACGTGCAAGGGCACAGGTTTGGCTGAGTCCCAAACAGAGGTTTGAATATTAGTTGTGAGTAGGTTTACTGCGTCATCGATATCAGAGGGAGTCTTTAGGCGGAGTTTAAGGCAAGTTTTTTCCGATAGGATTGTACTGAATTTGTCCCAGTCAGTTGGAAATTTAAATAGAGCTGAGGCGTTGGCTTTAGCTTGGGGAAGACAGTTTAGTGAAAGCATGACTGGTGAACGGTCTGAGCATGGGTCAATGAGATTAAATATTTGAGTGTGGAGGTTTCTTGGAATCTTAGTGACGAAGATATCCAGGATGTCTGGCATTTTTCGACGGGAGTTAGGCCAGTATGTGTAATTTGGAGGTGCAATGACAGTAGAGTTGGTAGATGGTAGTGATTGGAGGAGAGAATTTCCTCTGGGGTTTGAGGCATGACAGCCCCACTGTTGGTGCTTTGCATTTAAATCGCCACCTATGATGTAGTTATTGTTGAGTGTGGAGAAAATTTCAGTGAATCTGGCCGGGGAGATTTTGTGTTTCGGTGGACAATAAACAGCTGCGAATGTAATAGAGATATTATCAAGTATCAGAGATATAGCGCAGGATTGGATGTCGTCGGATATGAAGTTTGGGAGTGGTATGTATTTAAGTGAAGATTTTATATATATTGCTGCTCCTGCATGAGCAGTGTTATCTGGGTGGTTTGCACGGTAGGAATCGTAACCAGGGAGATTGACGTACGAGTTGGAGGAGAAGTGGGTTTCAGAACGCGGTTAACATACGAAGCTGGTTGGTCCGGTTAGTTCTGTAAGTTCGGAGAGTACGGCTGAGTAATTTAATACGCCTTTGATAAAAATGGGTGGCGGCAATGGCACTTTCGTTGATGCATATATGGAGGTATCAGATGGCTCCTGGCTAAGAGACTCAGGTGGGACGTCATTATCATCAGATTCAACAGTGTTGGAGAGAGCGCTATAGCGATCAGGAGAGGCAAATAGCTTTTGTTTTTTTTTGGTGATTTCAGTGGGCGGCATTGTTGGTGTCGTTGGTGATATAGGTAGGGATCTTTTGTTTGATTGCGTTGAGGCCTCTTTTTTTTTTTGCTTGATTACCTGTTGCTTGTTTATAATTGTAATTGGCGATACGGATTTATTATTAATATTGGAGCAGCCTTGCGACATGTTGGGACGGTTTAATCTAATCGCGAAGTCCAAAGGTCACCGTGTGCGACGGTGCCTTGGAGTAGTATAATTAGATATACTAGTATATTAGTTGTTGATAATTGTAGTTTGATACAATAATATGAAGTAATATAATTTATATTAATTTTGTTTTAAAACAAGAAACTTATATTTACTATCCTCGGAAAAAGGGTGGTGTTGATGACTTGATCTGGGTTGCGACGTCGAATTAGCACGATTAACTGCTTCGGAAGGTGAAGCGCACGTATAATTCCGTTGATATTAAGATAACTAAGTTATACATAACATTGAGATAGCAATATACGTGTGCACTGCACGACTGGCGTGACTCGACTTGATGTTCATAATAAATAAGTTTTATTAAGTATTAAACTTTATTGAATTTAGTATGAAATATTATATCAAAATGAAGATATATTATAAAATAATATAAATATTGGTCTTAACACAATTAATGACTGGCCTTATATGTTAATTTGTTCCCAATGGTAGTCTAACTTGACGCATACATTTTTAAAACTTATTCCGGCGTTTGTACAAACAAAAAAATATGAATTTTTTTATTTATTTAAGGTAAAATATTAAAAAAATAAAAATAAATTGTGGAATTGATGTATACAATCATATCTACCTATAATGTATCAAAGATTTATAGGTATGTTTTTTTTATAAGCATAATTATTATGTAAAGTTCAATTTTTGACAAAATTCATCAAAACTACAATCACTCATAATATTATCATATAATATGTACCAAGTTAAAAAACTGACATTTTCAAATTGTATAGCTATGAATATTGACAATTCAAATAAGATCTCTCATAAGGACCTAGTTAATATTTTAACAAAAAAATCTAAACAATATGTCAATATATTAACATTGTTTGGTTTAATAGACATTTTAATTATCAATTTGGACAAAATTAGATAAAACATTGATTACTAATAGTGAAATAATTGATATAAATATCAATAATATACTCAAATAAAGGTACCTACTTGGTATGCAATGATTTATCTTTGAATATTCAACTTTTTACCTTTCAATTACAGTGAACCACTCTACACCTACTCTGTAAGTACCTACAGCAGAGCGGTAGGTACACGGTACACACCCACTTGCCCACCAAACTATCAATTAGAAAAAATTAATATATATTATTATATTCATTCTAACTTCTAAATGACTTAAGCCTTAAGTCATAATATTATCGACATATGCCTTTTTCGCAACCATAAAGTACGGGTGTTGATCGGTTGCCCCCCACGGCTGATATCGGGATTTTAGAAATATACCAGTTTCCCTCAACCAAACTTACCAGTAATAGTTTCTCTCAGATGTTAATATATACTATATAGGTACACTATTACGATATATAGCCCATAAAATAGCGGAGGTAAATATACAAATAATAAATACAATTATTTGTAAAAATAAAGTGAAATAGTATAAAATGATAAAAAAATTCGTATGCTTGTAATAATTACTAACAAAATAATATGAATCAATAGTCAATGAAATAATAATTTTTGTTACTCGTTACCACGATTTAAGATAGTACCTACCTACCCACATAGCAATATTATAATTTTAAAATGTTTAGAAAATATTTTATTAAATATAAATATTTTTTTAAAACAACTTGCGATAATCTCCATAAAAAACAAATTTGTTTTTAAGATGTCTTCTAATCATTTTTTGTCCGGTTGTTTGATATTTTAGAAATGTATTAAACAACAATTTTAATAACATTACAATATATTTTTAAACTATATTTATCCATAGAAAATATGTTTTAAAAATATTATATAGTTTTACAATTTTGGTATTAACAATATCATTAAATTATAAATTAAATACATTTTAAATAAAAATAAAAGTTTACATATATATTTTAATTAATCTTTACGTATTATAATTATAGTATATTTTACAATGCTGTTTAAACAAGACTTATACAAAATTATTATTTAGTAATAAAGATTCATATATGTTGTACTTGTGAATTTTAAAAAGGTACCTACTCATATAATATATTATAAGCCCATATAACTTGTATAAAGTAAAATTACCACGTATTAAAAAATTATATAAAAGTGATACATAAATGAAAAAAAAAAACACTATACTGTATAAAATTATGGTTGGTATAAAAATTAATAGTTTAAATATTATTTTACCAAAGTTATGATTTTTTTTTAATATAATAATAACACCTTAAAACCCTTTTAAGAAAATTATTTTACAAAGATATTAAATACAATTGAAACATAAAAACAATTGATGAAATTTAATACATATAATTAAATTATTAATTAAATTTATACATTTAGTTCATATTATTATTAAAATTGGTCTGTTTTTTTTGTTTATTTTCTTCTCGTGCTTTGGCGTTTGCCATGTAAATTTTCAATGGTTTAGATATATCAATGTCAGGACAGCAACTATACTTTCTGATACTTCTCACTGTACCTATATAGATAAAATACATTTTAATTATGCATCGATTAAGTAAATAATACTACATTATTTAGTATTAGTTCTTACTAAATATGAGCGAACATGAATTTAAAACAGAAAAAACGCGTTTATGTTTTTGCCCATGATATGAAAATTGTGAAAGTACCTATGTTATTATGAAAAATCTTTGAAGTTATTTGCCTTGTAGTTTCTGCTATAGTAGATCTTTCATATCTTGATAATTCATTTATCTTATATTTATTTGAATGTATTATAAACTCTATAATTTTTAAAAACATATTAAAATTTAAAATAAATTTACCACTTTTTTTCGAAACAATTTGTCAGATAATTTTTCTTCAAATAACTCCAATTGTTCTATAGATGTTAGTGGTAAATTCCAAGAAGACTCATCAGACAAATCAATATTTCCGTGTATTTCAGAACTTGTATTTGAAATAGAATCTGTAATTTTCTGATTCATATGATCCATTTTTTTAGCTAATTCTCTAATTTCAAATCTTAAATTACTTGTTGTACGTATAAGTTGATGAACAGTATGTGTAAAAAAAAAAAATTATAAATATATAACAATATTCTACTAATAAATAAAGTATATTTCTATTTTACACATATAAATAAATGTATATTTTATATTATTTCTTCACCTATAAGAGTTGGAATTTGATTTGATTCTTGATGCTGTTGTTTAGTCATGAAACTGTTTTGATCAGCTTCTGAAAAAATTGTATTTTTTATAGATATGTAAATTGAAATAATAATTAAAAATACACATACAAAATGTCTGCTTTAATCACAATTGTCACAAAACGTTTTAAAACTGATTTTACGTTATTAATTTAAAATCTAATATTCTTTCATTTTAAAACAAAAACTGCTGCCTGCTTAATTTAGCCGGCAATAACTGTACATATTAAATAATACAAAAATATCAAAATAAATGTTTTAATTTGGAAACCACATAAGACATTTAAAAAGTAATTAATGAAATACCTAATCTATCTATTCATTTGAACCAAAACTTTAAAGCATCACAAAAATATTATTATATATTAATATTAATTATTGTACTTACTATATTTTAATCCAAAATTATTGTTCGGGCTGTTTAGTGGTGACTGCAAGAATGTAGATTGTGACTGCGGACGATGACTAACCGATGATGATTTAGTATTGCTATGAGTAGCCTGATTTGGTTTTGATGCATTGTCAGTGATCGAAAAAGCTATATTAAAATGGTTATAAAAATTGAAAATATTTGTGAATAAAAAATAATGAGAAGTAAACCAATACATACTAACTGCACAAATCTTATACAGTACAGTTTCTATTATTTATCTAACCTAACCTAATATAAATATTTACCATCATTATTCTGAAACACGGGAGGGTCTTTAAGAACAAACTGTGAAGAATTTCCATATTTTGAATCATTCTTTTTTTTAGTTTTACTGTTAAAGTTTTATATCTGATAATCATACTCTGATTCATCATCTGATACATGTAATTGATGACGTTTACGTCTAGTTGATTTGTCAAAATTTTGCAAGATGAAAGCTCTGAAGTTTCTTCAGCGCGAACTAGTCTAGACCGTGCCACTTGAAAACTTTCTAAAAATGTATTTATGTAATGAATTAAATATTATATAATATTATACATAAAATATAAATACATTTACCAATATCTTTAGACAGAGCTCTAGCTTTATGATAATTAAATTCAATATCATTTGGATTTGTGCGTTGCTTTATATTTTTCTTTATATCTTTTTTGGGCCAAGCACAGAGTCCATTATTCTTAAACCAAAATGCCGGTACAACTTCAACACAGTTTTCTTCAGTGAACTCTACAATTCTCCACATACTTTATAACTTTATATCACCGAAATATATACAAATCTGAAAATAAAATAAATTGGTCAGAAACAATATTTAAAATTACATTTAGAATTAGGCAATAACAGTGAAGTTTACCTTAAACATATATTATACATATTCTGCTATACATTTTATTAATTAATTAATGAATGAATTATTGGGATAGCAATTTTTTACCGTCCCACTCAATCAACATAACTTTGTTTTTAATATTATCAAATGACCAGTACAAATAAGAAGATGATAAATCATCTACTTCATAAATATTAAAAACCGTTGAACTTATAGGGCTGTCATAATAAAGCTCTTTTAGTTTCAAATACTTTTCCAACAATGATAATATCATTATAAGTACTATTTACAGTTACTATATTACAAACTTTAACTAGGTACATCAAATGTTTTGGTTAAAAAAATGAGTCAGCTATTTTATCAACTTTCATTGTTATATTTTTTAGATACAACTTTTTATACTGCAACCCATTTATATTTTGTAATAAAGGCCCATCTGTGTGTATTCTTTTAAGATATGGAAATTCTTTTATTTTTTTTGAGATATTTCCTTGAATTTGATTTCTTTCATTAAAATGTTTAACAATTTGCTGTAGTGGCTTGTCATG